AGCACATTTTTCTAATGGAGCAGAACGAGTACAAAGAGGAGGGCATCCAGTGGGAGACCATTACCTTCAAGGATAACAAACCAATTCTGGTAGATTCTCTCTCCATCTCTACGATGCACCATACGTTATGTCTTTTCCTCCGTGTCCGTCTATGAGACGACAGCAGCAGCAGAGAGTTTGGCAGACAGGAGTTCTGTGGTAAATCCCATGAACAGGAAATGCTGAGTGCGCGAACCGCGTCTCCGTTCTCAGCCACATACCAGTGCGTTTTGGACGTCTCATTATATATCTTTCCTTCTCTAAGAGGCCATCGAACAGAATAAGGTCAACTCATAAAGGTTATAGTCTGGGTGTATTGTGTTTGTGATGGAGAAACTTGTCTCGTCTAGGGGTCTAGGAAATATTAACCCTGGGCAGTAATTATGGCTTTGTGCAGCTGCTGCTCCTCCCTAAAGGAGCGAATGTATTTTGGGGTAAAGTGTGCTACAGTAAACTACAGGCTTTTTCACTTTTTGAAGCATTAAATTATTTGTATATGCACCCCTCCTTAGTAAAATATATATTTGAAATAGTTAAATCAGACGTTTTCAAACAGGGCAGGGACTATAGATGGATGGATTTAATCTATATTAAGATTTTATTTGATGTTCCCGTATCAAGCTCATTATTGAAGTGTGTACAGTAATATTCTGGCTGTTCTTCACAGACCCCACTTTGGAGTTATTTAACTATGGTAATAAATAACTCCAGTATCCACCTTTTTCCTACGCCCCATGATGCTTTGCTGGAAACACGGGATAAAACGTCCGTAAGGATGTAAAAAAGTATTTCGCTGTGGTGTCGCTAGTCATTCATTCGTAGCGAGACGTGCAATCGTACGCTGACGTAGCTTCTAAATGTCGTCTGCACACCCGTCCCTTCCTTAATAGAGAACTGTGAGGAGGATTTAAAAAATTGCCCATGGAGCTCGGAGGCTTGCCTGTACCTTCACAGTAATAAAGTCGGCCGTGTGTTCACGGAGGACGTGGGAAATGATTTTTGTGTACGTAAAAGCTGACGTAGAGCCAAGTCAAAGCCGGAACATGTCGCACCATGAAGCTTGGGATTTAGTGTCAACCGGTGTCCTACAGACATCAGGAGCTCGTGTAGTAATGCATTGAGGGAGGTCAGTAAATTAAGGATAAAAGATGATTATGATGATTTAGTAGTAGTAGCAATAGTAGTAGTGGCAGCAGCAGTAGTAGCAATAGTAGCAGTAGCAGCAATAGTATTAGTAGTAATAGTAGTAGCAGCATTATCTGAGGTCTATTAGTTTTTTATAGCTACAGCCCTAAGGCTGTAATAAAGTTAATAAAGAGTAAGAAAGACGTCTATAAATGTAGAGAAATGACATTCGTAATTATATTCCGTAATGATATTCCCACTCAAGCAACAAACAGTATGTCATGATTCGTGTGTTAAAAACTAATAAACACCTACGGTAGATTATTCCTATAAGCGTTTTTACAGCAGCACCCCAGGAATAAGGTGGATGATTTATTTATTTATTTTTAATGTAAAAACTGATGACAACAAAAAGCTCAGCAAATGCCAGTTGCAGTCGCAAGTCAAGCAACAGAGTAGTGATTAACACACGCTGTCTCCCTCAGGACCTGTTCTTAACGAAGCCGATTGGGATTCTGTCCTTGCTGGATGAGCAGAGCGCCTTTCCTCAGGTGAGCGGATGAGGTTCGAACCACATGGGATTCATTTGGGAGCAGTGGATCGTGCATTTGTTTGCATACATCTTGGCGGCTACTCAAGTCAAATTATCCTTGTTCGATAATACTAGAGCTCATTATACATAGTGTCTCGCATACAGTGGTGCTTGAAAGTTTGCGAACTCTTTAGAATTTTGTATATTTCTGCATAAATATTACCTAGAAACATAATTAAATTAATTTTTAAAATGAGACGAAAATAACATACTTGGTCATTTATTTATTTATTGAGAAACCCAATATTCTGATTTAGATCCAGTATTACATATCTGTGAGGGGCAAAAGTATGTGCACCTTTTGTTTTCAGTACCTTGTGCAGTAATAACTGCAGATAAACGTTTGGGGTAACTGTTGATCAGTGCTGCACATCGGCTTGGAGGAATTTTATCCCATTCCTCGGTACAGAACAGCTTCAACTCTGGAATGTTGGTGGGTTTCCTCACATGAACTGCTTGCGTCAGGTTCTTCCACAACATTTCTATTGGATTAAGGTCAGGACTTTGACTTGGCCATACCAAAACATTACCTTTATTCTTCTTTAACCTTCTTTGGTAGAACGACTCGTGTGTTTAGGATCGTTGTCTTGCTGCATGACCCACTTTCTCTTCAGATTCAGTTCATGGACAGATGTCCTGATATTTTCCTTTATAGTTCGCTGGTATCATTCACCATTCATTTTTCTATAAGTGATGGCGAGTCGTCCTGGTCCAGATGCAGCAAAACCCAACCATGACACTACCACCACCATGTTTCACAGATTAGATAAGGTTCTTATGCAGGAAAAAGTGTATTAATTTCTCCAAAAATAACCCTTCTTAAAAAACCAAAAACTCTGTTCATCCATAAAACATTTTTCCATTAGACTTTTAGCTTGTCCAAGTGATCTTTAGCAAACTGCAGAAGGGCAGCAATGTTTTTTTGTTTGTTTGGTTTTTTCGGAGCGCAGTGGCTTTCTCCTTGCAGTCCTGCCATGTAAACCATTTGTTGTTCAGTGTTCTCCTGATGGTGGAACATTAACATTAGCCCATGTGAGAGAGGACTTTAGTTGCTTAGAGGTTACCCTGGGTTCCTTTGTGACCTCGTGGACTATTACACGTCTTGCTCTTGTGGTGATCTTTGTTGGTCAACCACCGATGGTCTTGAATTTCCTCAATTTCTACACAAACTCTTTAGAGATGGTTCTGTGACCTTTTACAGCCTGATCAGCATCAATTCTTTTTCTGAGGTCCTCAGAAATCTGCTTTGTCCGTGCCATGATGCACTTCCACAAATGGGTTTTTTCAAGATCAGACTCTGATAGATCCCTGGTCTTTAAATAAAATGCTCACTCACTCACACCTGATCATCATCCCACTGATGGGAAAACTCCTGACTCTAATTTCACCTTCAAATGAACTGCTAATCCTAGAGGTGCACATACTTTTGCCACTCACAGATATGTAATATCAGATCATATTGTTTTATTCATCATTTAATTTTACATCCCACTTCAGTATTCTGGGTTATTTCAGGTAGCCCCTAGCGAAATACAATGGCTCTCCCAAGATGGACACTTTTACCAAATATCTTTTAAAACATTAATCACGGTAGTTGCTGGACAAGATGTCTAATTTAAGGGTTGCATGTTTGAACGCCTCTCAGTGGTCTGGAAAACTGCATCATGTGATTATGAAATATAATCACTATAATCTTAACTTGGTTATTTTTCCCTCCTGTAGGCCACAGATGGAAACTTTGTAGACAAGCTGAACAGCAAGTTCAAAGCCAATCCCCACTTTGAGGTGGTCCGGAGCCATAGCCCTCTCTTCACTATTGTGCATTACGCTGGAAAGGTAGAACAGCCCGGCACAAAATGATAAAACAAACAAACAGAGTTGATTTATAGGTTTAGCCACACAGAATAATCCACATCGAATATGCGTGTCGTAATATGAGTAACACCGACTTCCCGGCTTGTTCAGGTGCAGTATAATGCCAGCGGCTTCCTGGAAAAGAACAGGGACAATATTCCAGCCAACATTCGCTCGCTGTTCATCAACAGTGTTACTCCTCTCCTGAGCGTCCTCTTCGCTGGTAGGTCAACATGCATCACTACAGAGACCAGGGCCACACAATTCAAAATAAACTGATCATTTATTTTACTTGTAACTTTTTTTTTCTTCTTCTTTTGATTGAGTTGTTCACACCTCCTTGTTTAAACAGTGACACTCATAATGGGTTAACACCGCTATTTCTATTGGACCACTAAAGCCATTTCAGCTACTCATTTATTATTTATCACTGTTTTTCAACCCTGCTTGAATTACAGCTTGCAGGCACGATGATGCAAAGACCTGCGTTCATTTGAGTTGACAACAAACACCACACGTGTAGTTTCACAATCTCTTCCTCTTAAATCTAATAATTATTATAGTAGTCTTGTAACAAAAAGGAACATGGCAGGAGACGGAGAATATATCTTTTACTGCAATGCCACCTCCTGTGCAGCTGTAAAACTGCAGTTAGGCAGATGAGGTCGACTTTTTAATTTCTTTAACATATACAGACAAATCCATAAATTAATAAATAAAATATATAATTCATTTAACGCAAACAGTCGAAAAATTCAAAAAAAAATGACTTTCTACTTTATTATTATTATTATTATTATTATTATTATTTTAATTGTTGATAAACCAACCATTTACAATCACTAATAAATTGCAAACCCATGATAATTATTACAAATCCTAGAAAAGTTTTAAAATGGAAAAGACTCGAATGGGCCACGTTATTGTCCAGGTACATTTTAATCCATATTTAAAACCATCCATAAACTATAGTGTGTTCCTATATTCCATGGTTCAGAGGCGATTAAGAAAAGCCTTACGCTAGTGAGAGTGTCCGCGATGCTTGTGATTGACAGCAGGTCCGTCTCAGCTAAGGCTCAGAACGAGTTGTACTGCTTCAGTTCAGCATTTTGTAAAATATGTTTATTTTATTTTTACAGCCACAATTTCCAGAACAGGGACGTTGATGCCACGGAAAGCGAAGGTAAATTATCACCTGCGATGCGCCATAGTTCTCTGGTCTAGAATAAACAGGTCCACAAAATGGGGGGGGGAAATTAATTGTTTGATCTTTTTGTTTTTGGCAAGATGGTAAACTTTGTAGACGACAACTTCAACTCGACCAGGAAGCAGTCTGTAGGCACGCAGTTCAAGGTAAATTAACCTTTAGTGATTAACCTCACACCCTAGGGGCAGTGGTGGCTTGATGGTTAAGGCTCAGGTTTACTGATCAGAAGGTCCGGGGTTCAAGACCCAACATTGCCAAGCTGCCACTGTTGGGCCCATGAACAAGGCTCTTAACCCTCTCTGCTCCAGGGGGCGCCGTATCATGGCTGACCCTGAGCTCTGACCCCAACTTCCTGGCAGTGCAATTTTTATGCAAAAGAATGAAAAGAAGTATGCAAAGAAAAGAATTTCACTGTGCTATAATATACATGTGATTAATAAAGACTCATTATCATGATCACCTATAATGGAGTTTAATGCAAGCTGTTTTGTACAGCACTCCTTGGCTGTGCTGATGGAGAAGATGTTTGCCGCCAGTCCGCACTTTGTTAGATGCATCAAACCCAACAGCAACAAATTGCCCGATCAGGTGGACAGTAAGCTCATCATGGATCAGGTAGGTCATCTTTAAATTTTTTCACAAGAGTTTCAATAAAATCGTTCCATTCATATGGTCAAAAATGGCTTTGTCACGTTGCAACATTTTTCCTGGTGATCCACACATGCCATCTCTCTTTCCTGAAATATATATAGATACATATATATAGATGCATATACTGTATATACCGAAAATGACTTACTCCATCACCACCTACTGGGCAAACATAAAAGTGCAGTTTGGGAAATTAAGATTTTAGATTAGTCCCTTAAAATTCATTTTCTTATTCTTGACGTCTGTTTAAAATAATGGACAAAAAATAAAGATTGTATAAAATAAACATTTTTTAAAAATTATAGCAAAAATATTTATACTTCTCAAATAAATGCAAACAAATTGAAAAATATTAAAATATTTTGTTTCAAAACTAAATATGTGTGGTAAATATTTAAATTGTCATCCTTTAAAAAATGTCGCAGCGGTTGATGGTGGTGATGTTTTTGTGATGCAGGGAAATAATTGCACTACTTAAGAAAACTTCTCTGAATGTTTTGTGTTAAAATGCTGAATCCAATATGATGAAGCTCAGAATCTCCCATTGCATTTTATATATATAATTTTAGTCATGTCTATGCTGTGTGTTAGTGCTGTTATGTGCACGTGTAACTGATAAAACTGCTAATCATTATTTGACCCTAATATTGCTGTAATGGGAAAAAATTATTTGTAGTGTTGTAGTTGTGTAAGTTTTTTTTTTCTCCTCTCTCTCTCTCTCTCTCTCTCTCTCCTGTCCTCCTTAGCTGAGGTACAATGGCCTACTCGAGACAATCCGCATTCGAAGAGATGGTTTCTCCTGGCGACCGTCTTTTAAAGAGTTTGCACAGAGGTGAATAAGCGTTTGTGTGCGTCATTTAAAAGAAACAAAAGAAAGCTTCCTTTTTTGGATGTTCAGAGATTTAATTTCAGCTAAATCTTTCAATCATTAGGTATAACATCCTGCTGCTTAAACCGGATCTGCCTTTGGACAAAGAAAGGTGAATAAATCATCACAAACACTAGTGAATGAAATCCACTGTTATTCTCATATATACTGTATGGATGATCAGCTTTATGTTCCTTTAGTCATTTTATGGATGTTTATTTTGTGTATTTTAAAAACTTAATCTGTTTTATCTGTCAGCTGTATGTCGATTCTTAATACCACGGAGCTGCGTGATTGGAAATGTGGGTAGGTTCAGGTCACACACACACACACACACACACACAGAGTACATGCACATTAGTATTTTAGTATCCATCATATTCAATTTACAATACTGGAAATAAACACTGCACATGTGATGCCAGTAGGTGTTTCGTTTATTTATTTATTTATTTTTAAACCTGTAAATCCTTGGAGCATAAAAGATAAAACCTTTTAACTTTTCTCTCTCAGGTCATCTCGGTTATTTTTTAAATACTGGCACCAGGACGAGTTGGCCCGTCTCCTAGAGAAGCTTGGGAAGGCAGCTGTTGTCATTCAGAAGAGTAAGTTGCACTAAAAATCCATTATTGTTTTATCTATTGAATAAACGAGCACGGAAATTGGTGCCTGCGATCTTTCTGATAATTGCCCATCAGAGATCCTTGACGGCATCAAGCCTTTTCAATTCCTAACCCTACAGTGGTTCATCCAGCTGAACCAGGATTCAGTCACGAAAGAACATGATCAAACCTGAATGAACTGCTCATCATTTTCTTTCAGGATCACAGGTGTACTTTCTTCTTTCGCTTTTAGGACAGAATAAAGGAACATGAACAGAAACAGTTCCTAATGTCCTTCTCCAGTGATTCATTAACCCCCCCCCAAGGTAGTTTAAAGACTAACACAATATTCCACACTGGTGCACACACACTACCATGTCACCATCTCTGCTGAAATGAGACGGAACCACCACGTGAATAACATCTGGTCATTGATTGATGGATGTTCGGTGGTTTTTGTTCACTGATGGATCGGTAACAAGCTGGTAAATTGTGCATCGCAGCAGATGGATGGGCTACAGACAGTAACTGTATATCTGCAGCGTGCAAACATATGGTAGGTGTATCTGATGATAGATAAAAGTGTCAATGAATGGAGGTGTAACTAATAAAGTAGGAGTTTAAGAGGAGCCAAACATTTAAAAATAATATTTGTGAACTGAGGGCAGCAGATTACACAAGAAGTAATTATGGAAAATTAGGTGAAGGGCAAGTATAAACAATAAAGCAGAACGAAAATTTCTCCTGGCCTCGCCCTGCCTTCTCTCTCCATTCTTGAACAGAAACGGTTGTGTTCGGTTTGTAACCCATCCCTGAGTTTGTGTCTGCGTTATACAGAACGTCTACCTCCTTTCTTAAAGTTCTTACATAAATTCTCGAAAATCTCTTTCCATTCACAGTTAAATAGCACGTTGAACCATGCAGAACTGAATGTCAAATGTAATGTTGCCACAGTTATGTCAGGTAAGATTATCTGAACAAACATCAGGAAGGTGCCTAGACTCGAAGGAAGTTCTCAGGGGTGGCTTCTCAACAAATCGTGAACTTGACAGCTGGAAGGTGTTCAAAGTGTCTACCAGCTACAGTTCCCAGATCATACATTAAATTTTTTTTTTTCTTTCAGGAATGTTTTTTATTAGTGTAAATAGCATTGAACAGGAATATGATAAACACCTAAATCTGATCTTTATGGATCAGTACTTTAGCCAGAAGGGGTTTTTGAGATCGGAGAATGAATGTGTGGTATAATATAATATAATTTATGATCTGGGCGTGATGGAGCTCACGATAAACACGTTGCCTCTAAAACCAGTGTTTCGTGGCGATGATGTGTTTTACCTAAGCTAAAGTATACCATGTTCCTGTATATTTGACACGAAAAGATTGTGAGAATGTGTTTTATATATTAATTTCATGAAGGGTGTCACGAATTCTTTGTACATGATTGTATAATTGTCATGAGTTTTTCAGGATTTGATGATTAATTTTGTGCTGAAATTTCACAGATTGGTTGTATCACTGTCTGAAATGAAAGTAAATCTAAACAAAGGAAAGAACGTCTAGTTAAATGTTTTAATGCTAATGTTCAGTCTTGAAACTAGGAATGATTATTGATTACACTTGAAACAGTCCTTTATTGATCAACTCCTACTCACTCACTAGTTCCCCATGTACAATGACTGTACAATATAAAATACACTTATAGATGTAAACGTACAGCCATGTGGGGAAAAAAAAATAAGTACACCCCATGGAAATTGTTGGCTTTTTTGACATATTTGGACAAGCAAACATTTCAGCCTCTGTGCCTATTAATAAAGGTGATGGTAAGTCTTGCAATCATTTCTACATGATTGCAAGACTTGCATGTTTCTACAGTCAGAAAGAGATTGTAAAATTTGACCTGCATGGGAGGCATGCCAGGAAAAAGCCTTTGCAAGACTACAGTTTCAAGACCAAAGACAGCTTTTCAGGACAAACGTCTCATACCAACTGTGAAGCACCGTGGTGGAAATGTTATGGTTTGGGGCTGCTTTGTTGCCTCAAGGACATTCATTCATTTATTTAACTATGAATTCTGCATCATATCAAAGAGTGCTTGAAGATAATGTGAGGCTGGAATAGCTTAGTCAAAGCCTGGATTTGAGTCCCATTGGAATGTTGTGGGGTGATTTGACATGGGCAGATCATGCCAGAAAACCCTCAAACATCTTAGACTGAAATTTTGCAATATATTGCATGGAATATATTGCATTCCAGCAAGTCTGGTGGACGATTATGCAAAACGCCTACAAGGAATTATTTCTGCTAAAGGGGGCAATACTAGCTTCTGAGGCCAAGGGTGTACTTACTTGCACAGAAGATTATCACATCTATTGATATTTCTGTTGAATAAATGATTGAAAATCAAATTTTCCTCTCCAACTCAGGAACTGTTTCATACATGATCAAATATTTGCTCGTCCGATATGGCAAAAAAAGCAACGATTTCCATGGGGTGTACTTATTTTTGTACATGACTGTAAATGCCAGCTTTTCAAGCAGTATGAGGATTGAATATAGCTGTGTGTGTGTGATGTATTTATATTACTTTCTACAGAACCTCCACCATAGCATTATTTGTTATTATTATTATTTTAATCTGCATGTCTCCCTTGTGGTGCTCTGTCTTAAAGACTACCGTGCAGTGAGCAGTAGGAAAAAGTACTTGGTCCTGCTGGCTGAGGTTAGGAGGCAACAGCAGGCCCAACGAGAGAGGGAAGAAAGGGAAGAAGCAGAGAGACGGAGGCAGGAGCTTCTGGAACAGGAAGAGAGAAACAAGCGTTTGCTTGTGGAGCAAGAAAACAAGAGTAAGACCCCACGATGCATTTTATTACTGTCCTACTCCCTTGTTTCATGCTCTATGAGGAAACTAATGCTTCCTTTTCCATGGGTGTCTCTTTAGGGCCAGTTTCTCCACCAGTTCCTCTACCCAGGAAGAAAAAACCTCAGCCCAGACCTAGGGCAATACTCGCTGCTCTTGCCCTTGCACCTCATATAGCACCTGTACCTCGTCCACGCAGTAAGCAGTTTGAGGTGAGAACCTATATCTGTTAAACACTACTTTCATAACAACAAACTATCCTTCCTGAGAGTA